TATGGGTAGGAAGTTTTTTTGTACTTTTGTTCATGCACCCTCTACAACTATGAGTAGACGGGGTTTTTGGAGCACCTGAGCTCTCTTCGGAGTAGTAGGGATGATATCTCGGTGATTGTAGGGGATTTCAATGCTGCTATCTATGAGAATGAGAAAGAAGGGAGATGTCCCCTTAGGTACGAGAATGTGGAACCATTTAAGAGGTTCATCTTCTACAATGCTCTAATTGACTTGGGTTTCAAGGGGGAACCATTCACTTGGACCAACAAGCGAACATGACTAAATTTGACGAGAGTCAGATTAGATCGTGTGCTTTGTTCGGCCTCCTGGCGGGCTTTATTTGGGGAAGCAGTGTCTTCCATGAAAAGATGGTGGATTCTGATCATTGCCCCAGCAGATTAGAACTTCACTATAAAGGAAGAAGGAACAGAAAGAAAATGTGGAGGAAGAGAAAAGACTAACAGAGGAACTGACAAAGCTCTGGAGGGATGAAGAGTCTTTCTGGAATCAATGCTCAAGGGTGAATTGGCTTCAAAAAGGTGATCAAACAATTCTTTCTTTCACGCTAGCACTATTCATAGGAAGCATAGGAACAAGATTTTGAGACTGAAAGATGATGGAGGGAACTGGATTGAAGATGAGAATAGGCTCAGAGGTCTCTCTGAGGGCTATTTTAAGGATCTCTTTAGAGCTAGAAACCCAATCCAGGACAATCACTTATTGGATGGCTTTCCAGCAAAAGTGACAAATGAGATGAATGAGGATCTATGTGCCCCGGTAACCAATGAGGATATAAGAAAAGCAGTTTTTTCTTTGGGTGCTAGGAAAGCCCCAGGACCAGATGGTTTTTCGGGGAGATTCTACCGAAGATATTGGGATATTATTGGGGAGACCCTCTATAGAGAAGTTATAGGATTCTTTGAGACAACGGTTTTGCCGGAGGGATGGAATGATACTCATATTGTTATGGTCCCAAAGGTTGACAACCCGGAAAGAATCAATCAGTTCCGTCCTATTAGTTGCTGTAATTTTAGATATAAAATCATATAAAAAATTATGGCTACCCGCCTCAAAAAATGGACACCTGATTTGGTTTCGGAGCTCCAAACGGCATTTACTGGGGGTAGACTGATACAAGACAATATCATCATAGTGCACGAGGCACTTCACCATTTCAAAAACCACAAACGGGGGCGTAGAAGAGATATGATGTTGAAGTTGGATATGAAGAAGGCGTATGATATGGTCGACTGAGAATGCTTAGAAACCCTTCTGATGAAGTATGGGTTTGATAACAAGTGGTGCAACTGGGTCAGTACATGTATCCGCTCTGTCAGATTCTCTATTCTTTTCAATGGGGAAGCAACAGATTTCTTCAGACCCTCCAGAGGCATCAGACAAGGAGACCCGCTATCACCTTTCTTGTTCATTCTCATGTCTAATGCCCTTACTTTCTTGATTGATAAGGCCGTGGCCGAAGACCAGCTTAAGGGGATTAAATTGAACGCCAGATGCCCTGTTCTCACCCATTGTCTCTTTGCTGATGATACGGTCATTTTTGGAAAGGCAAACCTCCAGGAAGCGCAGAAAATTCTGGATCTGATAGGGGAGTATGGAGCAATCACAGGACAAGAAGTGAATATCAGCAAGTCTTCTGTTTTCTTCAGTGCTAATGTCTCGGCAGTGGACAACGCTGATATCATTGCCCACATTGGATTTGCTTCATCAAACTGTCACTCGAAATATCTGGGGGTCCCGACGGAGTGGGGTAGCTCCAAAAAAGAAACCTTCTTCTTCCTTATCCAAAGAATGGAAAAGATGGGGGGAGCTTGGAAGAGTCTCTTGCTCTCTCATGGGGGAAAAGAAGTCCTTCTCAAAGTTGTTATCCAAACTATTCCATCCTTCATTATGTATCTGTTCCATCTTCCAGTCTCACTTACCAAGAAAATGGATTCCCTCCTCAGTAACTTCTTTTGGTCGGGATCTATGAAAAAAAGTAGCCTTCACTGGTGTAGGAAAGAGATCCTATGTACATCTAAATCGGAAGGGGGATTGGGATTTCGGAGCTTCAAGGATTTTAACATGGCACTTTTGGCTAAGCAGGCGTGGCAACTTCTTACGTGCCCTGAGTCCTTGTGGAGTCGTCTTCTTAAGGGTCTTTATTTCCCTAGAAGTGATTTTCTCCAAGCAAAAAAAGGGAGCAGGCCCTCTTGAATATGGGCAAGCCTCTGGGAAGCAAAGAAAGTCATTAATCTGGGAGCGGTGCGGGTTATTGGCTCGAGAGGTGACACTTGGTTGGATCAGGATCCATGGATCCCATCTCTACAAGATTTTACAATCAAAAGCGGCCCCCAAAATCACATAAAGGTGAAAGAGTGGATTGATTCAGGTGATAGACGCTGGAACTTGGATCTCATCCAGGGCCATGTCTCCAACATGGAAATGGAAGCAATACTGAGGATCCCCATTGGAGAAGATGAAGCTGATGACTTTTGGGCTTGGAATTTTACAAAAGAGGGAAGTTTTTCAGTGAAATCAGCATACCATGCGGTTCATCAAAATGTCAACAATACACATCCTAATGGGAATGCTGAGAAATGGAAATGGATTTGGAGCCTGCATATCCCTCCAAAGCTCAAATTTTTTATCTGGAGATGCTCAAAGAATGGGTTGGCAACAAAAGAGAGACTTCTCAGTCGAAAGTGTGCTCAAAACTCGACTTGTCAAGTTTGTCAGAACCCTATTGAGTCCCTTTTCCACTACATCTTCTATTGCCCTCATGCAAATGCAGCGTGGAATGCTATCTTCCCTTCCATCCCCTTACCTCCACAGGGGACATCTTTCTTGGACTGGTTATGCTCCCTTAAAGATGCAATTTCGCCAAACTCCTTGATACATTTAGTCTTCCTTTGCTGGAATATTTGGAAGGCGAGAAATGAGTGTTGTTTCAAGAATACCGCCCCTTGGCCCCCGAATGTGTGTCTGCAAGCCTATAAAGAGCTCTTAGAATGGAGTTCCTGTCCGAGGCCCCCTACTCACATGCCTTCCTCTTCTACCCAGCTCAGGGGTTCCCAGTCTCATACAAATCCACCGCCAAGTAATCATTCTTTGGTGATTCACTGTGATGGGTCGTTCATAAGCGACTCCCAGCCGGCGGCATATGGGGTTGTTGTTGTTAACCACCATGGACAACTATGTGATGGGCGAGCTGAGGCTCTTCTTTGTTCCACCCCGATTGAAGCAGAAACGAAGGCTCTTCTAGAAGGAGTAAAATTAGCACAAGAATATGGTTTCGAATGTCTAGTCCAGTCTGACTGCCAAGTGCTAGTGAGAGCGTTGTCTCAAAATCAAGCAAATTAGCCATGGAGGTGTGCGGCCTGGATTGGCTCTATTGTCACGATCCTCAGGACAAACCCATTCATCAAGGTTAAGGAGGTATCAAGATCTCTTAATGTCAGAGCTGATTGGGTTGCGCGTTCGAAGGCTAGAGAGTCCCTTCCTGACGACTGAATTAATATTCTTGATCTAATTTTTGATCTTCTTTAAGAATGTAACCTATTTCCGTTTTCTTTTGATTGGTGGAATAAAAGTTGATTTACGTTGTAAAAAAAAATACTAACAAGGGAATGAAGAGAAAAATTCTTTTACCAAAATAAAAAAGAAAAAAAAAGTGGAAAGGAGGAGGGCCAGGATGGTCACTTCCCCTCACTTTTGTCGTCTTCTTCATCGCATAACCCAACAATCCAGGGATTAATTCCCTAAATACACATTAAACTAAACCAAATTCCTAAACTACCACACTTATAAAAAAAATTCCCAAAATACCTAAGTTTGGAGTGGTTCGAGTTTGAGGAACTCGAACTACTAACCGGTTCGAGTGTAGAAGACTCGATCTACACGTAAATCGATGATATAAGCCTCGAACCATGTGGGGCTGAAGTGGTTCGAGTTCAGTGAACTCGAACCACTACTTTGAAATTTCCAATCACCATAACTTTGTCCTCGGTTATCCGATCGTAGCAAACTTTTTTTCCATTTCGCATAACTTTTCGAGGACTACAACTTTTATAATAGAAATATTTTCAGAATATATGTGAAAATGTGAAGATTAAAGTTAAAGTTACTCGCAAAACCCCTTATATTAGAAACTATTCCTATTTTGAAAATTTATTCCTAGTAAATGTTGTAGTACTCAAAAAATTATGCAAAATAAAAAAAAACTTTGTGACGTTTGGATTGCGGAGCACAAAGTTATGATCCTCCAAAGTTTGACAAATTTGAAAATTTGCTCGTTTAATTTATGGGTAGCAAATGACGTTTTCTAAGATAGCCATCCAAAAATGTCTTGTTTGTAAAAATATTGCTCTTTTGGCAGAAATTTCCTATATATAAAAAAATTTCCCGTGCCTTCGTCCCGAGAAAATGTCATTTGTTACCCCTAAACGAGCAATTTTTCGATTTTGCCAAACTTTAGAGGATCATAACTTTGTGCTCCGTAATCCAAACGTTGCAATGTTTTTTTTTCTTTTACATAATTTTTTGAGTACTACAACATTTACTAGGAATAAATTTTCAAAATAGGAATAGTTTCTAATATAAGGGGTTTTGCGAGTAACTTTAACTTTAATCTTCACATTTTCACATATATTCTGAAAATATTTCTATTATAAAAGTTGTAGTCCTCGAAAAGTTATGCGAAATGGAAAAAAAGTTTGCTACGATCGGATAACCGAGGACAAAGTTATGGTGATTGGAAATTTCAAAGTAGTGGTTCGAGTTCACTGAACTCGAACCACTTCAGCCCCACATGGTTCGAGGCTTATATCATCGATTTACGTGTAGATCGAGTCTTCTACACTCGAACCGGTTAGTAGTTCGAGTTCCTCAAACTCGAACCACTCCAAACTTAGGTATTTTGGAAATTTTTTTTATAAGTGTGGTAGTTTAGGAATTTGGTTTAGTTTAATGTGTATTTAGGGAATTAATCCACAATCCAGCAACTTGCCTCCCTTCCATTAACGTGTTACTTACTCAGTCACCACCAACCGCGGCGGCAGCAGCAGCGTCTCAAACAAATAAACCAAACCCACTCTTCTTTCCATCAACAACAAACAAAGCCAAAACAAATTAATCACACCTCTCTCTCTCTCTCTCTCTCTCTCTGAAAGAACCCAACAACAGATTCCAGTTCCAGTATTCATTCAATCCCTCATCCCACCTGAAAAACCTAGCAACAAAACCACCTCCATTTCTCGCCGGCAACAAAACCCACCATGTGTGGCGGTGCTATCATCTCCGACTTCATACCTCCCACCGTTGGCGGTGGCCGCTCCTTCTCCAGGAAGCTCACTGCCGACTTCCTCTGGCCCGATCTAAAGTCCAAGTCAGTCAACAGCCGCAAGCCCTACTCCAAGCCCGTCGTCATAGATCTCGACGAAGATTTCGAGGCCGATTTCCAGGGATTCAAGGACGATTCCGATGTCGATGAGGTCGACTGTGATGTTGATGTATTGGCCGACGTCAAGCCCTTTGCTTTCTCTGCCGCACCTCCTCCCCCACCTCGTAATTCCGCCAATTCGCGCGGTAATTAATCTGATACACCTTTTTCCCCGGGATTTTTGGGCTTAATTTCTAGGCATCTGATCGAGTTAATCCAAAGTTTGGTTTAGGGTGGAAATGTTTAGATTGTGTTTATGAGGTGGCTAATTGGAGTTCTGGGTTTTTGGTGGTGCATAAGCTCTTAATTTGCTTTATGATAAAGTTTCCAGCTTTCTGTTGGGGATTGCAGGCTTGTATAAAAAGCTTTCTGTTGGGGATACAGCTGAATCGAAAGCTTCTTACTTGTCGTCTTTTCCTTTTTTCACTCCCTTTTTTATGGGTGCTATTGGGGGGAAGAGCATGGTATCTGCAGTTTCACGATCTCAGATAAAAGTGCTTTCTTCTCTTTTACAACTGTAGTGAAAATAGTTACCATAGCTTAGTGTAGAAGCCTTGCAGTTTTGATGTCTAAGGAATTTTTCTCATAGCTAAAGTTAGCTACATCTTTCAATCTCCTGGATGTATGCAGCCTTAATCATAGGAACTTAGTATTGAATCATTGCAGATTGGATCCCTACTTTATTCATATTTGATATTACTATTAGGATAGAAACTCAGTTGGGGTATTATTGTAGTATTAACTAGTAGTTGACTTGTTCAGCTGAAGTATTGGGTATATCATGCTGGACAGATTCTTTGCTATTCTGGCACCCCTCTTGCTGTATGTTAGATTGTGCGCATGCTGATAGCTTAAACTAATTCGTGAAGTGCCGAATTGCAAAGATGTTTCCTTTGATTTTAACTGATAGATTCATGTTTTTTGTGTTCTCGATATTGTTGAAGGTTCTACAGCTGTGAAATCTGCGGAATTCAGTGGACAGGCTGAGAGATCTGCAAAGAGAAAGAGGAAAAACCAGTACAGGGGGATCAGACAGCGTCCTTGGGGGAAATGGGCTGCAGAGATTCGTGATCCCAGGAAAGGAGTTCGTGTCTGGCTGGGAACATTCAACACTGCTGAAGAAGCTGCCAGAGCTTATGATGCTGAGGCTCGTAGAATCCGCGGCAAGAAAGCTAAGGTGAACTTCCCCGATGAAGCTGCTCCGCGTGCTGCTACACCTAAGCTCTCCACAAAGACCAAAGCTCAGAAACCAGTTCCCAAGGCAACCCCGAAATCAGATGCCATTTACTCAGAATATGCTGAGCAAGAGTTCTTCAACTCTATGAGCTATGTGGAAGAGAAACCATCTCTGAACCAGCTCGGGATGATGAACACCTTGCCCTCAAATGAAGATGCTGGAGTCAACTCTACTGTTGATGCTAGTGCTCCTATGTACTTCAGTTCCGATCAAGGGAGCAATTCTTTCGATCTTTCTGATTTTGGATGGACAGAACAGGACGGTCCAAGGACACCCGAGATCTCGTCTGTGTTTCTAGCTGGGCCTGAATTCAATGAATCTGCATTCGGGGAGGAGGATGCTAATCCCAGCAAGAAACAGAAGTGCAACAACTCTGGTGGTGCTGATATCCCTCCCCAAGAGGAGAACAATGGGAAGTCATCTGAGGGAGAGGAGCTGTTTGGGTTTGATAAGTATCTTCAGATGCCGTATATGGAAGGAGGCTGGGAGGCGTCCCTTGAAAATCTACTTAATGGAGACACCATTACAACAACAACAATGCAGGATGATGGGAGCACAATGGGCCTGTGGAGCTTTGATGACCTCGCCAACATGGTTGGAGGAGCTTATTGAGAAGGGACATTCTGCTCCGCTGTTGTAAATAAAGACTACCATGTTGTAAGTTATTAAGCATCTTGTTAAAATCAAATGATTGGTTCCCGCAACTAATAGGTGCTTTTATGTATTCGCGATGTCGATTTCTGTTTGTAATGTGAGATTTTTGTTTACTTGCAGTGGAGTTTGAATGGGAGGTGAAAGAAAGAAAGAAGTCACCAAGTCAGGTTGGACATGCATAAGGCAAATGTAAGAGCAGGAGTCTGTTTTGTTTCGTATCGAGGAGCTTTTTGTGTTAGAGTACTGTAGTAAATAGATAACTACTGATGTTGTTTTGCTAAGCTGTATTCTAGAAAGAAAGACATAATATCTTGGAGACATTTTTATGGACGTTGGATATGATCCGAGTGTAATTTGACTGCTATGTGCATGTGGTGCTGGAAAGGTAGAGAAGAAGCATTGTAAAAGCTTCTGAACCTTTTCTCCCCTCCCCCATAATGTCTGACTAGTTCTTTCTGTTGTACCAGAACGTGGTAAATGAAATGCTGCTTTCATTATCCCGAGTGAGAAATGTCTTTGCTACAACTGTAACGAGATGAGAAAGGCCAATTCAAACTTTTGTGTTTGGGTTTGAACTTTGAAGGAGGGAGGCTGGAGGTGAATGTTGAAATGGGGAAGGAAGTATAGTAAAAAAAAAAGCACGTGGAGCAAGAGAGTGAAGAAAGGAGGAAAGGTGGTTTGAGAGACTGGGAAAATCGGGTTTGGATACATTGCAAGAGTGCCGGTTGAAGAAGCTGGTGGTAAAAAAGATGAATGGATGAGGGGAAACGGTCAAAAGTTGCAGCCTTGGAGGTGAGAAATGGTAACTAGTGGACCAAGGAAGAGGAGAAGAAGCTACCAGAAGAGAAGATGGACAGGTTAATAATAGTACACGGGACTTTTGTAGATTAGTAGGTCTAGGAAAGCGTAGCCAAATTTTTTTATTTTTTTTTTACAAAGAGATTTTATTGCAAGATCAGTTACAAAGAGGGAGAACGAACCAACAATCTGATTCCAACAAGAGGAAGCCCAAAGGCATTCGGTTACAAACAAAGCTGTGTAAGACAAAATACAGCAACAGAGAACAAAACACAGTCTGCAAAGCAACCATTCGGAAAGAGTAAAACCCTTGACCGAAAACAGATCATCAAGAAACTCTCTTGTAAACAACCAATCAAAGTGCAACAAAATCAAAATCAGCTTGTCCGATCATATCGAAATCCATGGTAGTTGAACATCATCGCTCCATATCGAAAGCCAATTTGCCATACGGTGTTGATGAAACCGCCTGTTGTCCTCCATCAATCTTTTTTTGTGGCTGTTGATGAATTGGAATCTGCAGTTTTTGTTTTTGGGTTTGGGGGCAAGAATCCAAAAGATGTGACTAGAGTCTACAGTGCAGTTGCAGAGTGGGGCTATTGCTGCGCGTCATTATTTCGTTCATTTTTATTTTCTTTTTGATTTAGGCAAGTTGCCAAATAAACCAATCCAGTCGAGTCAGAGGAGTCGGTCATCCTTTTTGTTTTTTGGATTCTTTTCGTACCTCGCGGTGGAGCAAGAACTTATTCGGCATAGGGATGTTGGGCTGGGCCCAGGTTCAAGCAGGGCATTTATGTTGGTTTTAAATTTTAAGCTGCAGAGCTAATATTTGGGAGGCCCAACAATTTAAGGGGTAAGGGCCTGACTTGAGAGGCCCAACAATTTAACGAGCAGAGTGATGGCATTTGCACAAGGTTAGTGATGGTGATGGCTAGGCGGGTACCTTCTTACCGGTCCCGCATCAAACACGGGTTAGGTCGGGTAGCGTTATTTTGAATTAGAGAGTGTTTGAATTAAATTGGCACAATCATCATCATTCATGCCACATAAATGAATATGATCATTGCGGTGAAAACATTAAAACTTGGTGGTCGATTTTGAAATCACATTTTAACAAATATGAACATATTCGTGATGACAATGGGGCGGACAGGTACCTCAATATCCATACCCGTCATGCATCTAGTGCGGGTCAGGCAGGGTACCCTCAAGGGTAGGGGGCGGGGCGGATCGACCGGGCCCAATCCAGTAGTACTAGTTTGACGAGGCCTGGGTCCAGTAACGTAAATGCACGCATCCACAAATCTATACCCGATCAATTAAGGTGAACTCTACTCTACCACGTTTATGGGCCTTAACAAGGTCCAATACAGACAGGTCGGGATAATGACGACATAACGCAAGTAGATATGTAAAATGATATAAAATAATTTTTTTTTATAAACAAAAATGGTATGATGATATATGAATATGATGTTACATTTACCCAATGTAAAGAAGTTGATAAGTATTGTATATGCATTTTCTCAACAACTCAATTTATTGGAACCAACCGATTATTAATATGGTAACAGAGTTGGTTTGTCACGGAGATTTGTGTTCAAATCCTCACGAATTATAATATTAATCATTATCTTTAAAGCACGTGATATGATATGTATGTACAAACGTCAAACCGTTACTTTTTATTTGAAAATATATAAAAAAAAAGTAGTTGAATATTACATATGCATTTTTCTCAACAATTCGAAATATTGGTAACATGTTAATTTATACGAAATTGTACTACCAATAGCTGGATGGATCATGGATATGTATGTTCGTGAGTCGTGACTTACGATAGAGGGAAAGAAACAAAACAATAAGAAGAGTATATCTACGTGTCGTGTGAACAGCAAAAGCAACAAAGGCTCCATCAACGTCAACTCACGATGATGAGCTTATAATTATGAACAGCTCTGCCTCTGCAGTTATCAATCAATCAATCATATTAAAGTAATTACTAATCCAACTCATTTTAAACGCGCAGGATAGGTATGGGTATATACAAGTCGAGTAACATATATTTATGTTAATATGAGATGTTTACTTAATGAAATACTATACTAGACATTTACTTATAAGAGTAGACAATTGGTGTATTTTCATAAAAATTTCAAAAAAATATGAATTCGTTAAAGTAAATTATTTTAACGCATCATAATTATTTGTGCTAATAATTAGTTGATTTTATTTGTATATATGAATAAATTATTTAAATATTTTTTGGTTGTGGTATATTTTAAACCAAAAGGTCCAATAATATATGTATATTAGATCTTTTCACTCTTATCTCTACAGTGGAGTGACATTCACTTCTTTCCCCGTTAGTCGAGGCGTTATTGGTTTCTATGAGTTGCTGTAAGTGATGGACATATATTGTACATAGTTTTGTGAGCGTCTGGTATGTGCCTATCATGCCAATCTCGACAAAATAGAATTTGCTTATTCACTGAAAGATACAAATAGAAAGATTTTTCTTCTTTTGATATTATACAAAGAATATGGCTCCGAAAAATTTATAAAAAATAATTTTAATCGTCCACTCAGCCACATCATCTTATATGGAGTGCAATTGGGATGTAGAGGAAAAGTGGTTGGCCAGGCCACCAATTTTTATTGTTGATCTGTTAAGGTCAGAACAAACCTGTAACTTACCACTCGATACCCATAATTAATAAAAGTTACAGGTATTTCTATAAAAAAAAGATCTCATTCCCAACAACATCATAATGATCACAGGTAATTGAGCAGATTTCGATATAATAATAATAATAATAATAATAATAATAATAATAATAACTACAGTTAATTGTAAACCCATACACACATACCTGTGTCGATCAAGCTAGCTACTTTGTAGACGTGTTTTATAAACTTTCAAGGACATCAAAATAGATCAAAGTTATCGTAAAAATTTATGGGCTATTTGGAATTGCTTAAAATGCGAAGTTATGATAAAAAAAAATGTATTTGTTTTACTTGCCAAAGAAAACATTTTGTTACAATGACTTTTCTAAAGACAATATGAGCAAAATGTCTCATGTTTTATTATTTTTAAACAAGTCGTCAAGTCATGTCATGAATCTTCTCAAATCTAACCCACTTCAACTCAAATCTCATCTATATGTCCCGGATACCACTTACCTCTCTCTTTTGCTCTCCGGCCAATCAAGCTACCAGAGAGCCCAAAACAATAACAAATAAAAAGATTAGGGTAATTAAGGAGCAAAATACCAGTGGGATGATAAATACGTGTATGTTATATGTGCTTAAAAGTTCCGTTTTTCCAAGCTATTGATGGTCTTTTCCGTCTTGTATGACTTTCCCCCTTTTTCTAAGTGGTTTTCTTCTAGGTGCCTCTACTTTGGAGATAGTTTTGGTATCTCTCTAGTCTAGTTTTCTAGATCTAGTATGGCATTGCTCAATTTCGGGTTCGAATTTTACAGCATGGGCACTTCTCATGAAAATTTGGCAATGGGGTTCTGTGTACCCACTGTTGGTGAGTTCATATTTCTTCTAGTGAGCAAATTCACTGTCTTCCCCTTTCGTCATCCTTTGGCGTGCATTTCTGCATCTTTTGCGGTCGTCTGATGTGATTGATAGTGTCATTATTTATGTCGAATGCTCTGTAGTCATATGGCATCTCATTTGGGTTTTAAACTTTCTATCATCATATGTAATAAGTTCCTTTTCTAAACGTAGTTTGCATAGGGTAATTTAAACATTGAACTTGTGAAAAGTAGCCTAACAAGACTTTTGGTGTGCCCATATATGAATTAGACTCCAACAACAAAAAAATGATTCGAGGATATTGCGGCAAAGAAGCAACGAGGGTGGGTTGGACTTAGCTTCAGTTGGAGAGATGGCTGCCGATTTTTGGTGCTGCCGAGGAACCAAGGCAAGGCAATATACATAATTATTGGGAGCGGGCATGAGAAAAACGTGGGATGGCTGTGAGGTCATAAGCACACACGACATTTAATTGCTACCTTAAGCAAGCAAACAAGCAAAAAAAAAACAAAAATTAGATAAGGGTAAGGTTGATTTTTATAATTAGTTGTTACTCACGACTAGATTCAAATCTGAGACTTACAGGTTCAAGATTAGTGGTAGTATCATTAGGTCACCGCACCGGAGAAAACATCCGAAAATTACCTTTCAAAATCTCCCCGTCGGCGGTCGCCACACCAGAGAAAACATCCCCTTCAACAACGGTAGTGGAAAGAAAAGCGGAGGAATTTCTTTTGTTTTATTTATTATTTTAATGATGTGAAGATATTAAAAGACTTAAATTGATTTTTTATTCATTTTTTAATTGTCACGCCAGACATTTAGCGGTCAACTGTTAGTGTTGACTGCCACACCAGTTAAAGTTAACAAAGGGTGACTAAATATGGACCATTTTAAGAATTCGGGTAATCAAAATTGATACAATTTTTTTAGTGACTAAATATGACTTGTTTTAGAAAACGAAACTTGTCATTTACCCGGAAATGGGCCTAATGAAAAAGTAAATAATGTCGTTGACTTGCAGAAACGAGAAGTCCACCTATTTCCACGTCACATCCCTTTCACAGCTTTCTCCAGCTCAACTCCCCCACCTGCCTGCCACCTGGCCTTGGTGGTCCCTCTCTCCCTCCCTCCTATTGCTTTCTTAATTAATTCACTCCCTCTATGAATAATACAGGAATAGAGACTCCTATTATTTTTATGAAACAAATTATAGTGAGATTAGTTTGAACATTGGGCAGTTAAATGGGAACTGAATTATATATGAAGAGAGTTGTAGAGCTTGACTAACGCCCTAATTAAATTTGATCATGAATGCCAGAAATTTTTTACAATGCTCATAAATCATCGGTGTTTACCGGTTCAATTTAAATTTATATTATAATGTTGCATATAAAATTTAGTTTTACTATTAAAAAAAGTGAATTATCGATCTTCATTTTGAATTTTGATAGACCAGTATAAATGTATTTCAACTGAAAGATTAGATATGGACTTTAAGACGAGAGTATGATGATTTTCGTTGACTTCTTTTTTCTTTTTAATAATTTTATATAGTTTGGAAACTCATGTTTAGAGATGTTTTAAGAAGGTATATAATAAAAAAATTTATGCTCTATCCGCTCTCATGTTATAGTCCATGTATGGTTACAATTTCTAGTGCCTGTAATCGAATCTCCACAACCTCATGGTCATGATTTTCTCTCATCTAATTGTAGTTCTTTGTTGGGCTGATAATAAAAATAATTCAGTCCATGTAGTGAATTGTTTATTCATTTTTAGATGGTCAATTTTTTTTAAAAAATGTGTATATAGTAAAATGAGATTTACTTGCTTAATAAACATTTTTCGGATAACTTACACACCATAAAATGAGATCTAGATCTCATTACTAAAAGCTTTTGATAAAAAATTTCACATATGAATTAGTATGGGGTTGTTTGTTCAGCCCTATAGTAGTGCAAGTAGGGTTGTTAGTCGGTCGATTTTGCTTTAACCGAAAACCGATTTCTCGGTTATCGGTTAAACCGAGACCACGCTTACAGTCACCGGCCACCGACCGCCTATCATGCTTCGGTTTGCCGCAAACCGACCGATCGGTTAACAGTTAAACCGCGGTTAATTAACTATCCGAAAAATATTATTTATAATCATTAATTTATTATTTAATTATATGAAAACCTAAAAAAAAACAAAAAAAGAAAATGGAGATAGATGGAGACAGACAGTGAGACTCTTCATCTCTCCTCATCTCTCCACTCTCCTCCCGTCATCTCTCCTCTCCTCATCTCCTCATCTCTCCACTCTCCTCCCGTCGCACTATCACACCCAGCCACCCACCAATCCTGCCGCCGCAAACAAAAGTCGGAGAAGGAGGAAGGACGGCGACGGCGACTCCCGGAGAGGAAGGACGGCGACGGTGACGGCTCCACTGGTCACTAATCCTCCCGCCGCACCCACCAATCCGTAGATCCAGAATCCAGATCCCCAACTTCGGTCCCTGCATGGCTGCATCTCCAACCAGATCGAAGAGATCTGACTTCTTCCCTCCTACATAGCCACCTGGGTTTATTGGTTTCTGGGTTTTGTTCTTGGGCTTGGGGGTGCGACAAGGAAAGGAAGAGGAACGGCAGAGCAGAGGATCGGCGGACTGGAGATCCGTGGTTGTGGGGGCGAGTGAAGGAGAGGAAGGGCGGAGTGGCGGGTTCGTCGGAAGGAGAGGACGGGCGGAGTGGCCGGGTCGGGGGACGGGAGACGGCGACGGAACGAATGATTTTGGAGGGTGGAGGAGAGGCAAAGTCGAAGGGAAGCGACGGTTTTGGGAGGGTGGAGGAGAGGCAGAGTCTTCAGTCTTGATATTAGGTTTCGATTTTTGTGGGGGATTGGGCTAGAATGGTGTCGTTTGGCATTGATTGGGTTTAGCTCGGTTAGCCACGGTTAATTGTCACCGGTTACTCGGCTAGCCGAGAAGCCACCCTTTCTTGCCGACCACCGACCGAGGTTAAATTTCGTCGGTTTTCGGTTAGCCACTAACCGACGGTTATCGGTTGAACCGGCCGGTTAGCCGCTAACCACAACCGAATTGCCACCCCTAAGTGCAAGGATGCCTTTGATAAAATAATAAGGGGATCTGTACCATGTCCACAAAGAAGATGAGGAATAAGCCAAGTTTTTCAGAAAAGAAATAGCATATATGATTTAGCATATTCTCCTTGATCTCTCTCAATCTTCCACTAGCCCTACCATTAAAAAAAAATCTCCCACTAATCCTACAACATTATGCTTCCATATCTGTGATGTATCTTTTAATTTTTTTTGTATATATAAACATTATATTATAATGTGAAGACATTGTGCAACAACAGTGGAAGGAGACTACTTCATAGAGGTTAATTAAGAAAGAATGATGCCGCTCCTAATTGTAATTTCGACAAATATCGATTACCAAAATGATATATCACCAAAAGCTCAACTATATATAAGAGATATAAGATTTGGAATTTTAAATATTTTTTAGTTAGAGCAGAAAATTTATTTATATCATTCTTATTCAAATACTTATTATTGTAAGCTTCAAAGAATTTGATTACAGTAGCGTCGACTAATAACATACGCCATATGCTTGATCTGAACTTTGAAACTTACCATCGCCTATATAAAGTCTTAATGTATAGTCTACAATTCCCATCAAATAAATGTCAATCATTGATAATGTCAACAAAACATATCAAGAATCACTAAGAACTCATTCAAAACTTGTATCCCCATTAATCAAAACTTCCCAAACCCATTAACATAAGTTTTAGTGTTTACTATACATGCCCTAGGTTTATTACTAAGAAATCCACCCTATAGATCTAGAGGCCAAGAAAGAGACGAGAAAGGAGGGAGAAACAAGAACGGAGCTTAACAAAATGCTATAATTGATATTTGGACATAGATCAAATTCATAAATTATAACATTTGGATAATTATCTCGTTTTATAAGACGAGTAATTTATAACCAGTCCGTTTAAATTAATTGTCTCCACTTCAGAGAATTGAAATTGAATCAAAATAGATAAATTAAAAATTTTCAAGACCAAATAAATCTATTTAAATTAATTTCTGCTGACAACCAATCAACTTTATCTAATAAAATCACACACAAAAAAAAACTTTAACTAATAATTTCAAAACGAAACAATTCAATCAAATTAATGCATTACAATTCTGTAACTACTCAACAGTAAAATCTTGTTTTCACACATAACAGCCCCTTTTAGCAATTTCTGGAAAGACAAAAATCCCTAGAATTAGGCCTCCCTCCCTCCCTCCCCAATCATCAATTATTTAATTTTTTTAATATTCATCGAATACCCAAGAAGAAGAAGAAGAAGAAGAAGAAGAAGAAGAACTAATATATACGTAGCCAAGTAGGAAAATCAGTTAAAATGATTTCCTCCACAATATTATTATACGAAAAGTAGAAGAAAAAATTAAAAAGAGGAAATTTGGGCTCCTCTTTGTCAGTCCGTGCATTGTGTGGCAATCTACAGCTTGTCAGCCTTTTCCCCCCAATCTCTCCTCTTTTCTCCTTCCTCTCTGTGTCTGTCTACTGCTTCTTCCTTCCTGGTCCTCGATCTGGTTCAAATTTGGGCTTTCTATCTCTGAGAAACGGCGGCGTTTCTGACCATCTTCCCTGCTTCTCCCTGGTTTGCTCCTCCTCCAACTCTCTGTCCCCTCTCTGCGAGATCACAGCTCTGGGCTAACAATAAGCTCAAATTTGAAATTTCTTGATTGGGTCCTCTTTTCTTGGAGCAAAGATAGATTCTGTCTCAAAAAGTTTGCAGCTTTGCTTAAACTTTTGATGTAAATTTGGGGTTTTCTCTGCAATTCATCTGATTCTTTGACTTGAAGAAGCACAGGCAGCAACTTGCTTGCCCCCATGTGCTTTAGCTGGCAAGTTGTGTTAGTAACGATTCTTTCTTTCCAGACTGACCAAAGGTTTTGTTCTTTGATGCAGCAAACAGCAACTGGAGAAGGTGTTGACTTCCTTTGCCCTTTGGGCTCTTGGGAGCCTGAGCACGATAAGTTGAATGAAGATGGAGACTTGCCCGTCGATTCCCCCAGCTTCGAATTCTGCCTATTTGCAGAAATTCAGACTCTATGAGACTCGTTCGGTATGCCATCTTTCATTTCCCTTCTGAATTTGATTCCTCAATCCTAAGGCTTGTTTTTTAACTTCACAGATGAATTGGCAAAACATTTGTGAATTTCCTCGTTTTCTTACATAATTACTTGTCATTTGAGTTCATAATATACGATTGCTCAGAACATAGACAGCTTCCTCATCAATTGCGCGCATCATTATCAGTGAAGATTTGCAGGATTTTCTCTATGCTATATTCCCTTTTGGGAGAGACATTTTTGTATGGGGTGATTGATTCTTATCATATCTTGAGTTTTCATGTCTCGTTAGAGACAAATTCACCACATTTGGTAGTGTTATTAGTAGTAATCTCCATATCACATTGGTGAGGACATCATCCTTCACTTCGGCGATTCTTTACCAAATACGTGATTTACTATTGTGTTCGGATTTTTAATGCTAATACCTAACACGTCTAAGATAAATCATTTCCTTATGAACTCATTCTTTCGTATGCATTAACATTTATGTGCAGATCATGCTTGAATTCGTCTCTTGGCGGACTTGTTAGGTTCACTTTTTTATGTAGTTCACTTTTTGCTTTCACGTTCTTTACTATCTAGTCAATGTAGTATCTAACTTGTTGTTTTTATTTTCACTGCATGTGCAGCACTTGTATATGATTGGAAGAGACAAAAGCAGAAACTTTTGGAAGGTGTTAAAGATCGATCGATCTGACCTATCTGAATTGAATATCCTAGAAGATCCGACTTCATACAGCGAAATTGAATGCTGTGACTTGTTACGGAGAATACATGAAGGAAATAAGACAATTGGTGGACTGAAGTTTGTTACCGTTTGCTATGGAATAGTTGGTATGCTCCTCATAGCCAATATAGGATTTATTGACTTGCTTGATTCTGTTTTTCCGTTGCACTCACAAAATCCTTTTCTTTCTTTCTCTTCTGAAATTAGGGTTCATTAAATTTTTGGGGCCTTATTACATGTTGGTGATAACCCAAAGAAGGAAGATTGGTGCTATTTGTGGCCATTCAATCTATGCAATCGCCAGGAGCGAGATGATCCCAGTTCCTGTGCAGTCGAATATGACTAATTCTAAGAATGAGAACAGGTCTTTTGTCTATTTTGCATGTAACTGGAACAAATACTTGGTACTTTTAAGGAGACTTGTCAGATTGGTTCTCAACACTACTCACTGTTTCTTTGTAATTAGTCGAGGACCTTCTGATAGTCATGATTGTTTTATTTTTCTTCCAGTGAATTGTTTGGGACCAATAATATGGGTTTCCTGTCATTATCAATTTAGAGTAGGCATTTTCAAAGTTGCAGAAGTGATTTCTGTACTATATTTGTCGGCGCGTGTTAATTAATGGCGCAGGGATCTATTATTCAAGCTTATTTATAGTTCTTCCACTAGCATTATCTATTTCTTCGTTCTTGGTGCTTCTTCTGCTTCTTTATGTCCCCCCCCCCCCCCCCATTTTAATTCATTTATGCATTATTAGAAGTAGCTATTTTCTTCTTGTTAGTTTCCGTGATCTATAGTAGCTGTTGCCTGTTGGTCTTGTTATGTACAGAACAAAACTTCATTGCTAGTGTAATGTTAATATAACGTATTGAATGAAGCAAGGTATTGGCAAGAGTTTGTGGGGGAATGAGTCAGTTTCTTTGTTTCAGTTAATTTCTGATTAGCAAATTTTACCTAGTTGCTCTGCATAATATTTTCTCTCTCATTTTGACGTTTCATGAATCGACTAACTTCTCTTGCCTTGTTCTTTGTTTTCTTCTTTTTCTCTTGATGAACAAATAGATACAAGAAGCTTCTTTGCATGGTGGATCTTACAAGGGACTTCTTTTTCAGCTATTCATACAATGTTATGCATAGTCTTCAAAAGAATTTATGTAATAGTGAGACAGGAAGGCTTCATTATGAGACCATGTTTGTCTGGAATGAATTCTTGACTCGAGGAATCAGACAGAGCCTCAAGAACTCTACCTGGACAGTGGCACTAGTACACGGGTTCTTTAAGCAGGTCGGTCTACTGTTTTCTGGAACTATATGCATCTAAATGCTTGTGAAATTTTGGATTTGAGGCAGAATGTCTCATGAAGCGAAGATATTTAGAAAAGCTCGTTCATGGTGGTCATTGGTTCAAGTCAGCTGGCCATGTCCAAATCTAGAGTGGGGCCCGAGATCCTTCCTACAGTTTTCCCTGGGTAGGATAGCGGTTCCTATTCAATAAAAATGGTGGCAACATGCTTTCTATATATGAAGCTATTATATCTTGTTTATGTTAGACAGAAATGTTCCATATTCGAGGTTGCTGAACCAATTTGGGTAGTTTTGTAACAACTGTAATCTTTATCCTCCTAAAACTTGTACCAATATCACGTTGCAGTTATCTAATAGACTGATCTTAACCCCTTTTTTCTGGTTGCCATTCAGGTGAAATTATCGGTGTCTGGAAGGGACTTTAAGCTGACTCTCATTTCCAGACGGTCACGTCATTATGCTGGAACAAGGTATCAATTTTATCTTTACCTTTCAAACTTCATTCGAAACCAGGCAGGACAACTTACTTCTTATTAGCAGCTCCACAAGTAACAGATGTAGTTACATGGCTAAATATACTGCTGATCGTAACCTAACTTTGTTATGAGATTGCTTTCTCTCTCTCTTGCAGATATTTGAAGCGTGGGATAAATGAGAAAGGAAGGGTTGCTAATGATGTTGAGACTGAACAAATTGTGTTTGAAGATTCTCCTGAAGGGCATTCAGTCCAAATAAGTTCTGTTGTCCAGAACCGAGGTTCAATCCCACTTTTCTGGTCTCAGGAAACTTCAAGATTGAATATCAAACCAGATATTATACGTATGAATTGAAACGCTGAACACTGAATTACAAACTCTTTACCTTCGGTGCATAAATTTCTTAAGTCTTGATTCTTGTTCTCGTCCACAGTATCAAAGAAGGATAAAGCCTATGAGGCGACTAGGCTCCATTTTGAAAATCTTGCAAAGAGATATGGGAATCCTATAATCATTTTGAATCTAATAAAGGTCAGTCTCTGCAGTTTGAAGAAGGAAGCTTTCAAGTTTTTCCTTTCAATTGTATTGGTTTATATTTCTTAAATCACATTTGTTTTTTTCAGACACATGAAACAAAACCCCGAGAAAGTATACTCCGAGCAGAGTTTGCAAGTGCAATCAGGTTTCTCAACATGAGCTTACCGAAGGAGAATCGTCTAAGGTTCCTTCACTGGGATCTGAACAAACACTCTAGAAGGTACTTGTGGCCCACCCTTTTAGCTTGATTTCATTATGCTCACTTTTCTTTCAAGTATATGATTAACCCAAGCTGGATTGACCGCTGCAGAGGTACCAACGTATTGTCACTTCTTGGAAGAGTGGCTGCATATGCTTTGAACTTGACGGGCATCTTCTATTGTGAAGTCTCGTCTAGTCCGAGACGTGAGGGCTTACCAAATGATGTCTGTTCGAAGGAACGCCATACAATTGAATGTGACAATTCGAGCGAGTCTGGTCCAGTAATCAACGACTTAAATAATGATGATAATAAGGAAAACAAGGTCAAGGAACCTACTCTTCAGAAGGGGGTCTTGAGGACCAACTGCATAGACTGTTTGGATCGCACCAATGTTGCTCAGTATGCTTATGGTTTGGCGGCTCTCGGAAAGCAGCTGGATGCACTCGGGTTTGTGGAATTCCCAAATATCAATCTGGATAACCCATTAGCAGAGAATTTGATGCGCCTATATGAATTAATGGGTGACACTCTCGCTCGACAGTATGGAGGATCCGCTGCGCACAATAAGGTAGTCTCTAGTTTCATGTTTTGGAGCTTTCATAGCGTCCTCTTGAATTTTGAGCCAGTATACATTTGCCGATGTTAATGTAATGCAGATATTTTCTGAGAGAAGAGGTCAGTGGAAAGCTGCAACTCAGTCCCAAGAGTTCTTCAGGACTCTACAGAGATACTACAGTAATGCATACGTCGATGCTCAGAAACAAGATGCTATTAACATGTATGTAAAACATTCCTCTCTCTGTTATTTATTTGCGTTCCATAGTATTGAGCTGATATCAAATGGTTGCCTCTCTCGTTACTATTCTTTTGATGTTGAGCAGATTCCTGGGCTACTTTCAGCCGCAGCCAGGAAAGCCAGCACTGTGGGAATTGGACTCGGATCACCATTACAATATTGGAGGTCGTAATCCTGATTTGCGTGTTGAGAATGCCAGGTTGGAATTGCTCTTTCTTTTCAACTTGAAGCATGCATGGAATCTGCTGCTGAAGCATAATGGTTATGTTAGAACGTCTACCATTCAATGTGCAGGTCATTGATTAAGAGATCAATGTCTGATGGAAATCTACTATTTGAAAGTGAAAGTGACTCAATTGAGACGCATACCAGAGTTGGACAGAATTTACTCTTGGTCGATAAACAACGAGGCGGTGATAAGGGTTTCTCAGACTCTTCCCCCGAGATCTCGACTTGTGATAGTGACCTCTCTTACTCCAGGTCTGCCCTCGAATTTTCTTGTGTTATGTTGACTCTCCAATGGTTCAGTTCATAGAATTCGTTAGGTAGACTTCAAAGGTTTATCCTTTTTCAGGTTTAATCCATCGATGACTCCCAAGCAGCTCTTTGAAGATATAGAAGAAGACCAATACGAAAGTTGTCCCATTTATTACGATGAACATGGGGATACGAGTAGCTGCTCAAATTTCCTCGATCTAGAGTGGCTCTCTTCATCGGGGAATTCCTGCGATGAAGATCCAAGCGACAGGTAGCGCCCCCTTTTGTTCTTCCAAGTCAAATATCTGGGTGTATCCGAGTAACCTTTCTCCATATTTGGTGGCAGGTCTATTGCTGGTCTGTCGTCTGAGAATCTTGTGAATGAAGCCAGAACAGAGATGTCTTCAGCTGCAAGTGACTCCGGCTCTAGCTTGCTGGTGAGTATCTTGTTTCGCAAGTCTCAACTGCAGTAGGAGTGTGTCTCTCCTCATGGCATTTGCTCGACACCTGATTGATTCCTGTTTGCTCGTTGTGCAGGGAAGTTACCGCGCTGGTAGTAGCGAACTCGGGTGCAATGAGTTGGTCGGTTATTCACAACGGTTTGTTCACTGGGTAAACGATGGCGTCACCATGTTCCACTGAAATGACATTTCGAATTTTGACTCGAGCTTCCCTGAAATTGATTCCCATCCTAAGGATGTGGATTCACGGACAGAAGAACACAGAAAATAAGAGCAAGAGTTGGGTGCGCTCACATACTACAGCTGACGTCGTCGTGGCAGGCATTATCATATGTCGATAACAGTTCCAATGAGCATTGGCTTGTCTGAGTTGTGAGGAATGCCGGTTTGATAAATGAGCTGCCAGAGTCTCGTGATTCATTGGGACTTTTTAAGCAGTAAAAGGTTCCCCCAGAAACAAGAAATCTGGAAGCAAACCGCCTTGTACATAGTTGCTACCATTAGACCTCCCATTATAGTGTTTCAGAAATGAATCTGCATAGCAACAGTTGATGATAAGCTGACTGAGGTATACTATTTCGTCCGGCTGAGATCTGGACTTCAATTTACTTATGGCTACTCTGCAAACCTTAAGGTCCTAAACTAGAAGAGAATTACTTGGTTGCCTGAATAAGATTGGTTCTTTCAGTCGCCCAGGAACAAGGACTGCTTGGAAAGCAATGGACATGGACGCTTTGGTCAGTTCCATTAATCAGAGCACCAGAACCACCATTGTTTGTGTTAGGAAGAACATAATTGATATAAAGGAGAACGACTCCAGAATTTAAGTATAAGCGATCAGAGTCGCTTTGATGCAGCAATTGTCGAGAAGAAAGTAGAAAAAATCGATCTTGTATTGTAGATTGATCGCCTCATAATTTCAACCTAATTACTGGAAATCTGATTCAGTGACGCAAGCTAAAATCATCCTAGTAATATCGAGACAATAGTCAAGGAATATGCCACAAATGAAACAAAGAGCAATTGACGGATTCGAGTCTTCTGAAACCGAAGAGTATGAAGATTGCAATGCAAGAAACAGACATACACTATCAGGAAGCATCACCAAAACCTTACTTCATTGTCAAAAAAACGCTCCCCGCAAATTGGTTTCTACAACTATCATTACTGAGACCAAACCCAAAAAAAAAAAAAAACTGCAAACAAAACATTCATGCCTAGAACTGGGTGCTTTAAAACGCTGATGTTTGAAGTAATAGAACATGTGAATCACAGCTACAGATTCCAACGGGAAAGAACAGCTTTACTCCCATCCTGTGGCTGCAGGTTCGGTGGCAGCTGGAAACGGAGAAGGAACGGCTGGTACAGTTTCCCAGTCGCCACCTATGGGTGCAGCAGCTGCAAAAATCAAAGCCAGGGCAAGTCAACACACAACTAACAAGACAATTATTAGGAGCGGGAGGTGACTGGTTTAATGGAAACTTCAAGAAAATACTAACCTTGATCGGGAAAGTAAGGTGCTGGAACACCAGCAATAGGAGGCTGAGCTGCATCAGCGGCCCACTGAACATCACCAGGTGTACTCCAGTCAGTCAATGGTTGGCCATAATCAGGAGCAGTGATCCCATACTCGGCAGCAGCAGCAACTTCTTCCTCTTCCTCTGGTTTGGCTTCTTCAGGTTCTCTGTAGAAGAATAGGTCGACCTGCACAAGAGCAGAGAAGGATATAAACAAAGATTTATGACATACAGCAAAATCTGAAGTAAATAGAAAGAAATAGAAATAAATGATTTACACTTGATGTTATACCATGATATCCCACTTGTGGCCTTGGGGAATAGTACCACGCATCTGCAAAACCATGCGTGCCAAAATCCAGAATAAGCATCCAATGCTGTGCTTTCCCTTGTTGTTGGCAGGAATGCCAATATCAACGTATCTCATGGGGGAGTCAGTGTCACAGAAGGCAATGGTTGGGATGTTTCCAAGAGCTGCTTCCTTAATGGGCTGCAATGCAGGCTCAAATTGTCAGCAAAATTAATCAAACGAAGTTGCCCAAATGTAGGTACAGAATGGGGACAACAATCACCTGATGATCTGTCCTCGGGTCAGTAAGGATCAAGAGACGAGGCTCGTTGAAGGAGGTCTGCATCTGGTTAGTGAAGGTACCAGGGGTATGCCTACCAGCAATGGCATGAGCTCCAGTGTACTGAGCAAACTTCAGGACGGCTCTCTGACCATAAGGCCTAGCAGATTGGACAATGATGTCCTGAGGGTTCTCAATGCCTACAATAACCCTAGCAGCCATATGCAGCTTCTCCCATGTCTTGCCAAGATTGATGATGTAAATACCTGACCAGAGAGTCAACATTATTACGACATCGATAGAATGAAACTCGGAGCAAAGATGCCAAATGGTACATAATTTGACCATCAAATTGGATCCTGCCTGACCCAAATTATCAATCAACATATCCAAACCACTGGTAATTGAGTCTACTTGATAATAAAATGAACTGGACAACCCATGAGCCATATCTTCTACGTTTATACTTCTTCTAAGTTCAATCGAAGAGTCGGGACTAAACAACCCAGATTCTGCTTGAAAACAGAATGCTGAACTACCCTAAGACAAATCTACAGTTGGTATTGATTAAACCCTAAGTAAATCGCCCAAAACATAACCATTTTCGCTAAAGCGAAAAACTAAGCTGAAATCCACAGAGAAGCAAGATAAGAGCCAGATTAAAGCGCATAACGCCTATGAAACCAGGACAGCATAAGGAGTTTATAGGCCCCGTCATAAAGCAGAACGATCCAACACTAGGTTTTCAGCAGCTTAACATGTCAACAAGGAAAATGGAGGTCAAAGGTAACAACTTAACTCGATTGCTACGCTACATCAATCTATAGTGTAAGGAACGAGGAGGACTCGATTTATACCATCATTGCGACGCTTGAAGACGTATCGCTCCATCTGGAAATCACAGTTCTTGGTTCCGAGATGGACCTCGGCGGCCAACATCATCTGAATGTCCAGCTCCTTAGCCGAGAGGGCGCGAGGAGGGGCAGGATTAGCAGCCGCCATGGTCGCGAGATGGAGAGCAGGTAGCACGGAATTGAACACCAGGAAGCACAGACGGCAGAAAATTGGAGACGGAGCGGGATGAATCGACGAAGCTAGGGGTTATAACTTATATGCAAGGCAAAACCTAGGGTTTCCTACATTTACTGACGGGCTGAACCTTCCAATGTTTTCTGGGCCTTGTCTCAACTGAGCCGGCCCACTATGGAGACACAAGCTTTTTGCCGCTTGAGACAATACGCAACAAAAATATTAAAGCATCTTGTTGTTATGGTTGGTTGTAGACTTGTAGTAAAGTTGTAATAATCATGGTTGTCACACCCTTTTCCTCTAATTAGGTTCAAATTAGTATGGGTCATCAAATCGACGGGAAAGGAGTTCGTATCAAGCCTTAAATGAACCCAGTCATTACCTTAATTTCGGTCAAAACCGGATATATTGATCGGTTAAACGAGAAAAGAATTTCATATTATGCGATTTGAATGAAGTTCCTCATGTTCACTAGTTTCAATTATACAGCAATAAAAAAAACTCTTTTGTCTAGCGAGAGTTTCGAAACTAGGGTTCTCGCGATTGCTTTAGGTTTTCTTCAGCCTTTTGGGATTGACGGTTGTCTTGATTCATAGAGTTTCTCTATAGTGTCTTTCACTTGCTTAGATCCCTTTACAGCCTCCTGCGGTAAATGATCTAGAGTGAGAGTTTCCTAGGGGTGTTGTTAGAACCCTCTAGGGTCTCGTCTTTTGTCTGAAACCCTAACCTGCCTCAAGCGGTTTAAGGGAGTGATATTTTTGTTTTTTCAGAAGTTTTTCTGAAAATCCTGAGTTTTTAGATGGACAAAGAAAACCCTATTATCGATAACCCCACCAAAAGTTACAGAGGTGGGGAGTGGTTCGATGGCAGAAGCGACAACGGATACAGACGGTCAAGGAGGCATGGCCCAGATACTTTAGGATAAGATTTAGCATATCAAACTAACGGATGACGAAGCGCTGGTGGTGGAGGATGACGATATTGACTCGACTCTTGGTCATGCGGTCAGTCTGCTAGGGTTGACTGGTAGAATCGTTTCCTCCAAGAAACCAAACCTGAAATCAATGAAAATAGCTCTATCAAAGGCATGGAACTTGCAACAGAATTTCCAAATATTAGAGTCTAGGGACCAACTATATGGTTTCCAGTGGACCAACTATATGGTTTCCAGTTCATGAACAAAAGCGATCATGATGAAGTGCTCGTCGGAGGACCCTGCATTTCGAGAATAGTTTGCTAATCTTTAAGCAAGCTGAGGCTTTCCAACAACCAAAAGTAGAGGACTTTCATATCATGGAAATATGGAATCAAATTTATAATCTCCCATCAACATTGCAGACAAAGAGATGATACACAAGATTGGAGTAAGATTTGGCATACAATTATTTGGTGGATAGTCGAAAGGAATGTTTCTGTAATGGTGTACTCAGGATAAAGGTGGGTAAGGACATCCGAACCCCACTAAAAAATGAGCTGACACTTAATCTCAAAGGATCAAGACAGACCTATGACGTGAATTATGAAAACCTCCCTATGTACTGCTTCTCTTGCAGAATGGTGGGACATCCTAAGCTCTACTATCCTACCCCTTCACCAACAGGGCAGGATTTGGTTGAACTTGAATTATGGGTGGATTTGACAAAACCCAAAACATGGTAGAGCATACTAGAAGGAGGAGTTAGGGGACCTATGGCAGGCTCTAAGGGCCAAGTTTGACAAATAAGCATTGACAGCGAGAATGCAGCTAGAGGAAGCCGAATACAAAAAGAAAAGGAATGATGATAGTATTAATGAGGTCCAACGAAGAATATTGGTGGAAAAGGCGATAATTGATCCGGCTAAAGAAAAATCGAGGAGGAAAGATAGAGGTTTGCCTCTATCATTTGTTGTACTCGATTTAACCATTTTGGTTTGTTTTTAATACAAAGGATCCGATTCAATAAAAAAATGACATTTTCATTAAAAATATATTTCCAATTATTAAAATACAACTCTATAATATTTATTAAATATTATAATTAGAATACATAAAAAATACAATAATATATTGATTACAATGTCTCCAACGACCGACATCTCTCATTGCCAAGATCATAGCCGTCAAGTACCATAAGAATTCTTCTATATTGGAAGCTCGGCTGGGAAGCAAACCAAGCTACATGTGGAGAAGCTTGCTCAGTGCACAAGACTTCCTGTGTGCCAACCTTCGTTGGCGAGTGGGTAATGGTGCCAAAGTGCAGATTTGGGGGGACCAGTGGCTCCCTACAGAACCAGCTTTCGTCCCCTCAGCCCCGAGACATCTCCCGGTGGACGCAATAGTTCCAGACCTTATCGACCCCGCAACGGAAAGCTGGGACCTTGATTTGCTTCATAATTGCTTTCCCGATCCGACTGTGCATACTATAATGGCCATCCCTCTCCGAGGGAGTGAGGAGCAAGATCGCCTCGTATGGTGTCATAGTGATGATGGTCGCTATTCTGTTAAGAGTGGGTACAAGCAATGGCTAACGGGTTTTATGCAGGAGGAGGGGATTGGTCCACGGGGTGATGAGAAATTCTGGAAGGCTATTTGGACCATGAATGTCCCTCCCAAAGTTCGTCATTTTTTGTGAAAGTTATCCAGGGATATTCTCCCAACAGGAGTGAAAGTGGTTACAAAGAACTCACAACGGAGTGATGAATGCTCGTTCTGCGACCAAAAGAAAACCCAACACCACCTGTTCCTCGAGTGCAGTTGGAGTAGCCGGATATGGAGAGGATCACCGTGGGGAAGTGCGTTTACTGTGCATGGATCGTCGGACTACATGAAATGGGTGGCAGAGGTGATGAAGCATGAGAGCTTGGACGTGGCGGAATCGTGGGCTTTGGTACTATGGGCGATATGGAAGGAACGAAATGCACATCTATTTAACGGCCCCAAATGGTCTGAGGACGAGATTTTACAGCGTGCACTTTCAATTCTTGATGACTACAGGAAGAACCAAGGCCCCGAGGAAGCAGTACCATGCGACGCGCAGACGAAACGTTGGGAGAGACCGGCGGAAGGGTGGATCAAGATCAATACGGATGCCGGACTTTTGGCTAATGATGGGATAGGCCTGGGAGCAGTTTATCGAGACCATCAGGGGCGCTTTCTTGTTGCGGCAACGAAGATGGTTCGTGGTTCCTTTGGAGTGGAAATGGCAGAAGCGCTGGCGGCAGAGTTCGGAGTCCAATTAGCGCACCAGCTGGGTTTCCAACGCTTTCAACTTGAAGTTGACAGCTTGACGTTGGTTGAGAAAGTAGTGCAGGCTCAGGATGTGCAAACCGAGATTGGAGTCATCTGCAAGCGGATTTCTCGTCTTCTACAGGAGCAGACTCCGTCCCCGGGAAGTGTCAAACATGTAAGGCGATCGACGAAAAATTCATCACATATCATGGCTCACAACGGGACTAGTTGGGATAGTAGAGAAGTGTGGCTTGATAATCCACCTACTTTCCTTGTTGATCAGCTACGGCTGGATGATGTAACATTTTCCTCCAATTAATTGAATTACAGGTTACCCTAGAAAAAAAAAACAATCGCACAAACCCTTTTGTTTCTTATTTTACAAGAAGTTGTTGAAAGTTGAAGCACCCTTTTGTAAAAGAAAACAAGTTGAATGACCTAGAACAGGATTCCTCTAATTTTTTTGGGATTGCTATTGGTCGCCCTAAAACTCCTTATTTGTCGCCCTAACGTTTATTAAAATGGCTTAAATATCCTTAATTTAATTTTTATTTTCAAAACATATACCTATTAAAATTATAGTCGAAGAAGAATCATCATCGCCTTGTTCTCCGTTGACGCCGACAACACCGAGGTGGTCATCGCCGGTGTTGGCGTCCGCATCGAACAAGACTATCTTGTGGTGGCGGTGGTCTCCGAGGGTCTCCCAATCGTCGTCGCCGATACGGATTTCCTGGAGCTGTTCCCCATTAATGATCAACTTTTGGACTTTGTCTAGCTAGGTTGAATTTCTTTTATGTCTATAACTCAGCAAAAGTTGGCGTAAGTAATGAATCGGGGCTAAGAAGATGGGCAACTGGGGAATGACACCGGCGGACCAAGCTTCAGACCTTCTTACTCCTGCTTCTGCTTCTTCTTTCTTCTTCCTCAGCAGCGGGTCGTCGAATTGGAGGAATCGAGGCGGGTGACCAGCGCTCGGACCTTCTTGTTCCTCCGTCCTCAGCAATGACAACAGGCCTCGGACCTTCTTCTTCCTCCTTTCTCAGCAATGACAGCAGGCCGGCGGGGTGTGGAATGGGAGCGACGGTGGGTTGGGGATCGGCAGCGGTGGTCGGACGATTTGTCCGAGTTAGGAATTCCGGATTGAAAATGGGTATAAGGGTATACAAGTCAATTTAGTATGATTTAGGGCGAAATCATTTAAATTTTAGAATAGCAATTCAGTTTTTTTTTTCCTCGCACAAAATTTCGCCTGTTTGATGCTCTCTGTCTCTAGAGTCTAGACTAGTCACTACTCACTAAGTCTCTTCCCACTTGCTGCCGTTACCGTCGGCACTAAAACCCTAATCTCACTTTCCCCATTGCTCGAGTAAAAACCTTAAACCCAAATCTCCCGGCCGCCCCTATCACATTTCAGAATCACATCGCATATGCAACTTCAGCAATGGCGATAAAGAAGTCGAAGAAGTCCACCGACGGCGACACCAATAAGTCCAGCGATGCAGACCTCCTGAAATCCGAAATCGCTTCTTTCGCTTCCTCGCTCGGCCTCGCTTCTTCCGCTCCCTCCTCTTCCTCCGGCTTCAACGATGTCGATTTTCGGAAACCCGCCCATCCCAAACCAGCTCAGAAGACCTCCAAACCAAATGTTCGATCGGATAAAAGCAAGACTCCCCAGAACCAGGAGAAGAATTCCAAAAACGAGAAACCCGCCGGAGCCCAGTTCAAACCCAAACCCAAACCTCCAGTTCTGACGCTGGACGACGCAAACAATACCAGAGCAACATCGGTTGAGAAGTACAAGAACCTCTCCAAGCTGCCACTGATAAAGGCAAATGCAGTGGGTGTGTGGCACGTGGATGCTGCGGAATTGGAGGTGAAAGTGCTGGGAGAGGCTAACAAGAAGGTGGAAGTCAAGATGAGCGTGGAGGAATGGAAGATGTTCGTGGAGAAGAAGAGGGAGGTTGGGGAGAGGTTGATGTGGCAGTATGCACAAGACTATGAACAGAGTAGAGGGCAGAATGCTGATATTAAGATGCTTGTCACTACTCAGAGGTCTGGTACTGCTGCTGACAAGGTCTCCGCCTTTTCTGTCCTCATTGGAGATAATCCCATGGCTAATCTGCGTTCTCTCGATGCACTTGTTGGTGAGTGAAAGGCTATCTCGATTGTTTGCGAAAGAGCATTCTTTGACTAATGAATTTGCAGTTTTTCGATTAGTTCATCTCTTTCTGAATGGACGCCAATCTTTGTTTTGCAGGAATGGTGGCATCAAAAGTGGGGAAGCGTCATGCGTTGTCAGGTTTTGAAGCATTGAAAGAACTGTTTGTTGAAAGGTTACCACTTCGTTCCTTTTGGGTTTCATTCTTTTCCATTTCCATGCTGTATGCAGTTGCCTTAGTCTTTTAGTCGTTTAAGGTGTAACCTTGTTATTCATGAAATTTGTGCTCGACGTTGTTTACTAATACGAGCCTATTAAATGCGGATTGTTCTTCAATGAATGCTAAGTGTTAATTGACATCTAAGTACCCGATTCCTAATATATCTGAGAGCCTGCTAATGTTGTACAAAGAAGTTCTTCAATTGGCTTCTGTTTCTTCTCTCATCCCCAATTGATAGCTTCCTGCAATTTGCCCTTAAGTCGTGTGATTGAAATAGCATAATGACTCTGGTTTACTCAACCACCAGTTTGCTTCCTGATCGTAAGCTGAAGACACTCTTGCAGAGGCCTCTTAATGATCTTCCCGAGACAAAAGATGGTTATTCCCTTCTTCTCTTTTGGTATTGGGAGGATTGCCTAAAACAGAGGTTGGCTTCTTTTTCTTCCCTCTTTGTTAATTAAGCAATGGACTGCTCTAGTTGTTTGCTGAGGTGGAAATTCATGAGGTTACTTCGACTTCTCTCCTTATCATCGTCTTAGGTATGAACGTTTTGTTCTGGCCCTTGAGGATGCATCCAGAGATATGCTACCCATACTAAAAGACAAGGCTTTGAAGGTTGGTATTTCCATGGGATCTCAATGCATATGATCATTCCCCCACTTTAATGTTCAATATTTTCCCCCCATTATCTTTTTCTGCACCAGTGTTGTTAGCATTGAAGAGCTGTTTGATTCGTTTGCATGTGTATATCAATTATCAATGATAGGTTAACATGGTATCTTTGCTTGTGATCTTGATGTCTTTAATCCAGAGCATGTATATGCTGCTGAAGAGCAAATCAGAGCAGGAGCGGAGATTGCTCTCATCATTAGTGAACAAAGTAAGTTTGAGTTTAGAATTCAATAACATTACAAAGTTTGACATTTTGCATTCAAACAGCTTCGAAGTTCGAGTTTTAGAATTCATATCATTATATAAATTTTCATTTCAAACAGCTTCGAAATTTCAGTACATGTGGTTCTCTGACGTAGAATATTTTAACCATATTAAAATTACAACTATTTGCACAGCTCGGTGATCCTCAAACTAAGGGTGCATCCAATGCTGAGTATTACTTGACAAACTTGCTCTCTGATCACCCCAGTATGAAGGTGGACAACTCTCAGCAGCTATCTTCTCTGCTTTCTTATGTGTTTATCTGCCTTTTAGCTGACCGCATTTAGAATGTTTCTACAGGCTGTAGTCATTGATGAAGTGGACTCCTTCCTCTTTCGCCCTCACTTAGGGATGCGAGCCAAATACTATGCCGTATGTTCCTTTTAATATCCTTTGATTACTTCCAACTGCTATTCCGGGCAACCACTTGATCTCTGCTTCCCTTCTGCAGGTCAACTTTTTGAGCCAAATTCGACTGAGCAATAGAGGAGATGGGCCGAAGGTTGCAAAGCGTTTGATAGATGTGTACTTTGCATTATTCAAGGTACCCATGCACCCTTTTATGTGTACTTATTATATTTCGGGTACATAAATATATGGGTATATACATTTTTCAAGATATATGATACTGAACCATATTCTTCTCAGGTGTTGATCACTGAGGCAGGTGTTAGTCAGCAAACGGATAAAGACAGCAAAATTGAAGATAAAGGTACTTCTGGTCCTTCTAGGGAAGGGAAAGTTAAAGCTTCACAAGAATCTCATATTGAGATGGATTCACGACTTCTTTCAGCTCTTTTAGTGGTAAGTTCAAATCCCTCTCATGTCCCTCCTGGATTCACGGAAAGATGATGCTTTTCGCTCAGTGCTGCTTGCAATTCATGCTTGCCTTTCTCCTAATCTCATCAGGGGGTCAATAGGGCGTTTCCTTATGTTTCAAGTAATGAGGCTGATGATATAGTAGAGGGCCAGACACCAATGCTCTTCCAGCTGGTAAGCTTTTCTGTGTGCTAGTATTTAGCCAATAAAACGAGATAATCAATGCCATCAATGACCTTGTTTTTTTTAGCTTTGAAGGTGATTGATTCTTTGTTGATGCAGGTTCACTCCCAAAACTTCAATGTAGGAGTTCAAGCCTTAATGCTGCTTGATAAAATCTCTTCCAAGAATCAGATTGTTAGTGATCGTTTCTACCGTTCCTTGTATGCTAAGCTTCTACTTCCAACTTCCATGAATTCCTCCAAGGCAAGTAATTAGCCCCCCCCTCTTTTGTCATTTAAGCACCTAAGTAACCCATTTATGCAAGTGAATAATTTCTATCTTCCTCAATCGTGTTCTTCAGGTGGAAATGTTTATTGGCCTAATCCTCAGAGCCATGAAAAATGATGTGAACTTGAAGCGCGTCTCCGCATTCGCAAAGCGCCTGTTGCAGGTTAGTTGTTATATTCCACTCTTGGTTGCATGAGGGGATTACTTTCAACTACTTTCCGACTGTTTGTGTTCGGATAAAGGGTTTGATTTCACAAGTGCTTGAACAGGTTGCTATGCATCAGCCACCTCAATACGCTTGTGGATGCCTGTTTCTACTCTCTGAAGCTCTCAAAGCGAGACCCCCTCTATGGTACTGAAAAGCTCGATCTCGTATGCTGTTCACCCGTTTTGCATGTCGTGACATTTTATTTTCTCATTTCATACACAACCCATGACGTGCAGGAATATGGTGCTTCAGAACGAGGCCGTGGATGAAGAAGATGAGCATTTTGAGGATGTCGTTGAGGAAAACGGCAAGAAAGATTCTACTGATCCCCCTGCAATGGATGAAAGTAATGAGAAGGAAGACCATGAGCATGAATCTGACTCTTCTTCCGAAGAAGAAGAAGAAGATAAGACTGTCGCCTCAAGTTCTGAGGATGATGATGATGATGGTTCAGACGATGATGCTCGTCAACTGCTAAGAGTAGATCATTCAGAAAAAGTACAATCGGAACCGGAACCTAACAACGATGATTTAAAAGCTGATACCGGACTGGCTAGAGCTCCCTTGCCAGGGGGTTACGACCCTCGCCACAGAGAGCCATCTTACTGGTATTAAACCTTCTTTACAAAACGAATGAATTGTCCCTGTGCTTTGCCTTTGTTTTTGAGCTTCTATTTTCTTGGTGGAATGCACAGCAATGCTGACCGTGCCAGCTGGTGGGAGCTTCGAGTACTCGCTACCCATGCCCATCCTTCAGTAGCCACCATGGCTGGAACGCTTCTCTCTGGCGCCAACATAGTCTACAACGGAAACCCTCTAAACGACCTGTCGCCGAGTGCTTTCCTCGACAAGTTCATGGAGAAGAAACCGAAGCAGAAGGAATGGCATGGCGGCTCCCAAATCGAACCCTCCAAGAAGGTTTCTATTTTTTTGACTGCTTTCCCTTTCCTGATAAGCTCCATTCTAGTTCACTTGTGCGCTTTTATTGACCTTTGTTATCTCACGTAGCTCGACATGGACAATAACCTGATCGGGCCGGAGATTCTGTCCCTGGCGGAGGAAGACGTTGCTCCGGAAGACGTCGTGTTCCACAAATTCTACGCCAACAAAGCCAACAGTACGAACCCCAAGAAGCAAAAGAAGAAGAAGAAAAAGACCTCTGCGGAAGAGGACGCCGAGGATCTGTTCGACGCGGGAGATGGCGGCGCTGATGATGACGTGGCCGGAGGCGACGAGAGCGACAACGATGAGATTGAGGAGCTGCTGGACGCTACATTGGATCAAGATGACGGCGGTGAGTATGACTACGATGATCTGGACCAACTCGCCGGTGAGGATGATGATGAGTTGGTGGGTGACGTTAGCGATGTTGACATGGAAGCTCTCTCGGATGTCGCCGAGGGAGAAGACGATAGCGACATTGAGGTCGGAGATGCTGATTACGGCGATGAGGACGAAGAGGAGGCAGTGGCGGTTGATAGGAAGAAAAGACGGCGGCCAGGGAAGATCGGCGGTGGTAAGGGTGCCTCCCCGTTTGCGAGTATTGAAGAGTACGAGCATTTGCTGAAAGATGAAGACGATGATGGAACTGCCAAGAAGGAGAAGAAGAAGTCCGGCAAAGGCGGCAAGAAGCCAAAATCGCGAAAGAAGAAGCAGAAAACGACTACTGACTGACTGATTGATTTCAAACATTTATGATACACTACAGATGCATTGTACACCTTAATTTAAGCTCTTGAACATTTGAGCGGAAAACAGAGGAACACACTGAGCTACTGGAGTGCTGGTTACTACTACTACTACTACTATGGTGCAGGCGTGCAACTACATTATATTGGTGATTCGTTTTCAGGAGATGGCGACTTGGAAGGACTTGGGCTTGGGCGGCGGAGGGTGTTTCTCCGTCGATGCCGTCGGACTTCCTCTCGCTTCCTCTTCTCGCCGCTCTTGATCACCAGCATGTTTTCGTCACCTGCGGTCAAAAGCAAAGTTCCCACCTTTCAGGATCAAATCGCAGAGTTTATTATAGAGAGTAAGTTCAGGTTCGAATGATAAAATTATGTTTTCTGCCTATGTTACCTGGATATCGGATTCGGAGAGGCCGGGGACGTCGAGGTAGAAGACGTACTCCTTGCCACGGTCGACGATATCGGCGGGAATGTGAGCTGATGCTTCCGCGGCGGCTCCACCAACCGCCTGTATTTTTGCCGGAGTGTGTCCTAGTAGTTGTAGGGAACATGAACCTCTCCATGGTCTCAGGGATGGTTTCCGAAAGCACAGCAACATTCGATTCACATGCCACTGCCGCTGGTTAATCAAGGAAACGAATAACAGCATTCAAGAGCAACATATCCACTTGCTCTAGTATGCGTAACATTCAAAATCAACATATCCACTTGCACTATTATGCACTTCTAAACAGATTATGCACACGTCTTGTCTTGATTTAGTATCCAATATTGGCATTCTTCATCCAAAATTACGAGTGCAATTCATTCATGATTTCATGGTCCATATAATTTTGAAGTGTTTCTTTATGAAGTTCATTGCAGTAAGTGTTTTTCCAACACTTGCAATGACAACTAATAGAAAAAGAAGAGATTATAGGTATATACCACTTTATTATGAAGTTTTATCAAACATGTCATATACTATTTTATAACATCAATCATGCTCATGTACTCTGGAAAAATGATAAAGTATGCCCAAGTTGGAGTCCAACTAAACAAGCATACAAGACGCAATGGTATACAACAAGAAAGTAGTTTCCTAACATCCTAGATGATATTATGAACAAAACATATAGTAACATATAATAGAATCATATGCATATAATAGCAATATCATTTTATTAAATCATCGAAAGATACATGGATAAAAAAAAAAAAAATTCACATCCCTAAACAACTTCGAGCTTAGCTAAACACATGAGAATATGAAACCATCACCAATGATAGAAGCAACGGTGGTGAGGACTCATTATCAACCTCCAACAGGGCTTCTTGTCCTCCCTATGACTCTCTAACTCGTACACCTAGGACAGAGTGTTGGTGTGTAAGTTGTTTCTATCAGTTGTATTTCAAACCTCTAGCCTAAGCCCATATATATACTAGTTACATGAGGGGTATTTTACGCGACTCGGGATCCTTGACTTAGCCAAGGGCTTATAGAAGTCTCTTGGCCTTGTACTCCGAGTGACTGCCCAACCCACTGTCGTCTCCTTTCTTATTGGGTTGGATTGCTTCTAGGCCAAGCAACTTTTCTTGGCAATTTGGCCTCCAACTTCAATGCCTTGAAATAGCGGCCGTACGACACGTCAGTGACCCGCATCGATTTCTTCTCCGGATTGGGCTGAGGTTTCACTAGTGGACTTTTCTTGGTCTTTAGTTGAGACTACCAGAAGACTTCCCCTCCTTTAGGCTTCGTCTTAAAGGTGAAAAACTCTTTGATCTTTCCAATTATGCTCCATTGATCCTGCATAATCATCCATGCTTTTGAAAGGTACAGAAATATACCAAAAAGGCGTAAAAAGATTTTAAAAAAACATCATCTTGGTCTAATAATAGCTCATTGATGAAATAGTTAGAATAACATATGAAATCAAGTAGAATTTGATAGAAGGCAAAATACACTTCCATAGCCATAACTTTACACATTGTGACAAATATAGCCAGATTTTGAAAAATACACAGAAATAGCCATTCCGTCTATTAATTTAACGGAACGCTAACAACAGCTGACTAGACAAACATTCGTTGGTCTACGTGGCATGACAAGTTGTAATTTAAATTTAATTATATTTATTAAATAAAAAACATTAACCAAAAAAAAAACTCTCGCCTCTTACCATCATTTCCCCCGATCCCTATTTCCTAATATCCTTCCCCTGCATCCAAGATCTCTCTTCTTCTCCTTTACCTCTATGTCTACCCTTCCGCTCCCATGAAACCCACCACCCCTCTACTTTTTCTTTCTATTTGTCTTGTCTAAAAGCAACAAGGGATACGAGGCTAGATCCACCCAATACCTTTCCCCTCGCCTCTTTGATGAGATTGGGATTGGGATTGTTCGATTGTGGGTTCTGGATTAGAGCATACGCCGTTGCCTGCTGAGGTGTTGTTTTGGGATTTTGTAATTGGTGTTGACGGGAGGTAGAGGCTAAAGATGGACGCGACGAATCTGGCGGGTGGGAAACAGATATGGAGATTTGGGTCGACGACTCCGACGAGCTGGGTCTTCGACTCCGACAAAGCCCCACATGCTATCCTCCGCCACTGTGGTGGTTTTGTGAGAGCTTGAAATGGCTAAGACCCCTAACCCAAAACCTCCTTCTCTCTTCCAATCGAAACGGCGACGAACCCTTTCATCTCTGCCGCATGAGAGGAAGACGATGATGATGGCGACGACGACTTGATTAAGTCGAAGTCGTCGCTGGTGAAGCAATCTTCATATCTAAGGGAGGACGGGGCGGCAGCGACGGCGGGGAAAGCCATCAACTCCGGATCCGGCGGGTGACAAAACCAGAGCTGGTGAATCGATTGTAAAGGGATTTTTTACTAACAAACCCTAATATGTGAAGCTCTAATGTGGTTAGCGATTTTGTAAATTAAAAGGGCTTGCTCGCGAGAGTAGGGATTGACACTGGCGAACAGTGCTAGGGGGATAGAAGCTTGCAGGAGGAAGATGAAGATGAAAAGGATGTGTGTATTGAGTTTGTGGTGTCTTCAGATCTCTCTCGAACCCACGAAAGTTTTTTTTATTTTTTTACAGAACGAACCCAGGAAAGATGAAGAAGAAAAATATGTTATGTTGGCATTTTTTGGAAATAATATTTTTAAATTAATAATATAATTTAATTTGACATGGCGCACACGTGGCTACTGGGAAGTGACGTGGAAGCTGAGGAGGCGCCACCTAAGCTTGCTGTTCACAGGTGTTAACGGCATCTCTAACACCGTTAAAATTTCTAACGAAAATGGCTAAATTTGTCAAATATGTTTCAAAATTTGGCTATTTCTGTGCATTTTTCAAAATTTGGCTATACTTGTCACAAAGTGTAAAGTTATGGCTATGGAAGTGTATTTTGCCTTGATAGAATAAGAAAATGTATCAAATATAATATGGATAGAGTCTTATCATAAATACCCGACACTTAGACTTTGCTTGTCCCCAAATAAACACAACTCACAATCATACAACTCAATGAACACTAAGAAGCATCAATCGAACCCAACCTTATGTGGTAAATCAAAAGTGAACTATTCGGTTTAATAATGTTCAAGTATTATTAAGTTATCTATCAGATCTATCCGATATTTTTCTATAAGCATGTACATCAATCAATAAACAAGATTACATAAACTTATCTCCAAATACCCTACCATTCTTCTCCCCTTTCCTCCCAATTTCTTCCTCAAATTGCTAGTTTTCCTTCTAAACCAGTAAACCTCTAAATTCCTAATTCAATTCGATTCTCAATTATCATAACCCCACCCGAAAACAAACAAGATCGTTGGATTCCTATCATCTTTCCACTTCAATTTCTGGCTTTCCCATTAATAACGGATAAACATTCCTGAAAGCCAACTGTAGTGTACGTGTGCCAAATTGCAATGCAGAGGACGCAATTTGGTCCCCTTGAAACGAGATCCCAAACGCACTACCGTACTAGCCTAAGTCTATTTAGCTGGTTGGCACCAAAACAGCGGGCCTCAGGCCTGGCCTCCCAATCCATGAGCCATCCGGGGCCCATCATCTGGGCCCACTCTTCACATCCTTTTTATACTTAAAAAAACGCAACACCGTAAAAAGCAAACCAAAAATTAGGGTTGGGCATGCGGACTGGTCACATGTGGGTTTGGGTCGATCCGCCTATATTTAATCCGAATTTTGTTATGTGGGTGGGTGACGGATTATGGTGGGAGGCATTCGCCGGGTGACGGGTGGGTTGTAGGCGGATATGCTGGTGGCCCGCTCAACCCAACAGCAAAAAGAACAAAGCCGTTGGTGTTGGAGAGTGAAGAATAGAGACGTTGATGGATACTAGGGCTACTTCCCTTTGCGTTCCCTACGATTCTTGTGTCCAAATCACCTCTCTTTCCTCCGTTGAATTATTTTTCTTAGTTTCCTGCACCCGATAATCATCTCCATCCTTAGGAAACTCCTCCATAATAGAATTTTTATCCAATTTTAGATTTAATTCAACAATTTTTCTTCTTATTCCATCTTCTTGTTTTCGCCCGATAACTCTCCACCAATTATCTTGCCACTTGAAGTGCATCTCAAATCTGGATGGTGAATCAAATTTGGATGGTGAATGGATGTTGAAAATTGAAATTGGTTTTTATTTTACATATTGACATTAAACAGGGAGGTTTTGAAATATAAATGTATCATGTCAAGTTGACTCATTTATATTATGTAGGGTGTACATGGGTCGGGTGGGTCGGGTTTAGTAATTTTAATCACCCGATCCATGCACTACGGTTTGGGAAATATCAAACCCAAACCCACCCAAAAAAATTTAAACCCTACGGTTTGTTTCTAATTGGGTTGGGTCGGGTTGTCGATATTTTTAAGTAAAAACCCAACCCAACATAAAATATATAATTATTCTACATCATAAATATATTTTATAACTAACTAAAATTTCAAACGAATGAACCAAAGTGAAAGGTATCAAAATTCACAAATGTTATTTAAATTTTAATAAAATGTGATTTACTTCAACATATGTCTTGTTTTTTTCACGATATTTGTTGAAATAGGCTCTAAATGTTATAAACAAACACATCCATCATATGTTATTCTATTAAAAGTGTACACAAGAAAAATGATTACTTGAATCATAACTATATTCAATTTATGTCTAAACTTTAAGTCGAAAAATGCATTAGATTAGGGAGACCATGAGAGAAAACATGGCGAAATATCTTAATTTTCTCATAAGTATATGACTATATAC